ATGCTCCTTGAACCCTGGGGGGAAGGATCCGGCCCTCCGTCTCTCCCGTCACCATTCCCAAACCAGCCAGGGAGGTGTTCGCTTTCCTCCCCTCTTCTTGCAGCGTCAATAAGAGGCAAAGTCAATAAGAAGGTAACAAAAAAGCTATATTATATATATATAAAATATATACAGAGAGAGGAGATGGAATAATAACCTGGAGATTCTCTATTTCTATTGTATATTTATTCTGTAAATGTCACTGTAAATGCTGTTAAATGACAAAACGTATTCCAGAGTGGCCCGTGACCTATTTTCATTCCCAGTGCTGTACAGATCAATTCTCATTGTATATCGGGACATATTTTTACCTTTTTATTTCTCGTGTGTGGTGGGTGGCTGTCCCCCCACCCCAGCCCCGGGGTGTCCAGCTGCCCTGGGGATCCAGCAGAGAGGAGGAGGAGGGACGACACCTTTATTTTTATCTGTGGAAATACTGTATTTCTTCGTGGCATTTGCTCGGTGTTAGATACAGGGTGTTGGGGGGGGGGGGGGGGGGGGAAGTGTTAAATTTTAAGTGATCCGTGTCGTCGCCGTGTGAGCGTGCGCGTTTGTCCGTAGATGCCGTGCGTGGGGGTGTGCGCGTGTATGTGTGCGCGGGTGTGTTTTGTTTAGGATTCACCTCTCGCTGTACTCGGTCACTTTTGGAGCCTGTGTTGGGGGTTTCTCCCGCTCGCCGGGGCAGGCTCTCCCTCCACACACCTTCCTGTGGTCCCGGACTGTGGATCAGGCCAATCCCCGGTGGCTTTTAGCCCTAGAAATCACTTTTTTTTCCTCTTTTTCTCCACAGAGGCACAGGGAATAGCTGCTAGTTGTGAGCACAGGCACTTTTCAGTTTTCCTCCAGGCGGTGGGAGAAGGAGGGGGGAACTGCTGCCAATATTCCTGTCCCCCCACATCAGCTCCCTGCTCGGTTCCCAGCCTGGATCGTGCTGCTCGGAGCAGGACAGTGTCCCTGGCTGGGGGACAAGGAGGTGCTGGGTAGGTCAGGAGAGGTCAAAGCCCTGTCCCCTCTCTGGGGCCAGAGCTGGGGGTGGGTTAAATGGGTCTGGAGAGGGGCTGGCTGGTGCTGAGGGCAGAAAGGAGCTTTGCAGGAGGCTGCCCACCCCGTGGCGGTGGTGCTGTGGGTCCCAGGGTCCCTGTAGGGCTGGAGCTGGGATGCTCCGTCCCCGAGCAGCGGGCTCTGCTGCTGGTGCTGTGAGTGGGGGCCGAATCTGCCCTTGACCTTGGTGCAAAGCCGAGGGGATGGCTGGAGCCGGCTGTACTCTGCTGATTTGCACCTTCCCTGGGTGTCCCTTGGTCCCTTCCCCTCAATTTCTCCAAAACAGCCCCTGCTTCACCTCCCGGCCCCCCACCCAGAGCCCAGCAGGTCACGTTAAACCCCAGCACCTCCCTGGAGCTACTCCCACTGCCTTCCTCCTGTCCCCCGTCCTTCCCCGAGCCTGGGTCTCACTGGTAGGAGTGGGGAGCAGAGCTGGGTGGCCTCGGTGGCTGGGGGGGACATGGCACAGCCCGGGCAGAGCCATGGCAGCACGCGGGATGTGGCCGCTTCCCCTGCGGGCAAGCATCAACGCTGGTGAAACCCTCCTGTACAGGTAAAAAGCACAGATCTCGTAGTACTTGTCCCATGTATCCTCGTAGCCGGTGTATTTACCACGCGTGCTGTGCCGGCCAGACTCCTCGGCAGTTGAGAGAAACCCTGCAACAGCTGTAATGGAGTCCAATTAAAAGTCTCTTCTTACCAAATCTCTTCTCGCCAAGTCTCTTCTCTGCCTCTGTTTCCTTTCTTGGGGTGGGCTTTGGGGTGTCTCTGAGGTTTGGGGTTGCAGAGGGCTAAAGCAACGGGCATCGGGGCTGTTGTACCCACAGGCAGTGATGCCTCTGTCCTTCCCTGTCCTGTCACTCCTATCGTCCTTCTGTCTCCCCTTGTCCTCTGATTCCCCTCCTCCATCCAGCATCACCCCCTGCAAGGGGCTTGCTTAGGACACGGCTGCCCAGAGGTGCTTCAGGAGCATCGTGGAGATGATCTTCCATCCTGGACCAGTTCAGCCAGTATATGCTGGCTTTACAGGGCACATGGACTGGTAAGACACGTCTGCTCTTCTGCACAATGCCCTGCTAACATTGCTGGTGGCTTATCCTGAGCACTGGGGGTACTGGGAGGCTGGAGACCCTCCCTGGAGAAGGACCAGAGATTTCCAGCAGTTCTGGAGGACTTCAGCTGCTGGGTATTAGCTTGGTAACAGGCTCGGTGGGAGTAGGGCTGCCTCTTCCCTTCCCTCCCATTTTTTGTAGCTTGTTTGGCTTCTCCAGGGCTGATTCAGCCTGGGAGGATAAGGAAGGGGGGGAAGAAGAGGATGAATGGGACCAGATGAGATCCACCAGCACTGGGGATGCCATTGGGGTGCCACCGTGGCTGTGAGCTGAGCTTGTCCCTCCCCTGCAGTGGCATCTGGGCAGGTTTTCTGAGCACCTCTGCATCATCTGGAGGTGTTGGTGTAGGACTGAGGTGAGGGTCTGCAACAGGGGCTGAAGGAGCAGCACTGCCGGCACTGGAGGCAGGAGGTGGCACACGGGTTATCTTTGCCCAGAGTCCCTCCAGGACCTGGCTCTGGGGGAAAACATCCCCCAGGGGCGATGACCGGGACACGTGGGGCAGCTCTGACCCCAGCATGTCCCCACTCCCACAGAGCGGGGCTGGAGATGCTCCCAGCTCCTCCTCATCCTCAGTGAGGTGGCACAGAGGGACGTGCAGGATTACAGGTGCAGCACCCATCGAGCCCGGCTCGGGGTGATGCCTTGGGCTCTGTGGTACCCACATGTCATTCTCACTGCTGTGCTGAGCTGGCCGGCCTCAGCCCACCCCTGTGCTCCCACTGCTCTGCAAGCTGGGTGGCTCGGGGCTTGGGAAGAGGTTCAGACCCCAGACCCAGGGGAGGGGACACGTGTCCCCACCACTGGACTGTGTCTGAGGACAAGGCGCTGGCAAACTGCTTGTCCCCAGGCCACCCCCAGTGCTGAGGGGTCTTGTTTTGTTTTATCTCTCTTTCCTCTCCACATGCAAAATCAAACCCCGTAAAAACCCCAAACAGCGGCTCTGCTGCATCTTTGGGATTGCAGCTATTGCACGGGTCTGGGTGAGCTGCTGCCGTGGAAAAGCCCCAGGCCAGGAGAGCGAGCGGGGCAGGATTTTGGCTTAATCTGCCCTGCAGAGTGCCAGGGGCTGAGAGTGGGTCTGGAGTGGCCAGAAACATGCAGGTCCCGGTGCCAGGGGCTCCCTGCAAAACAGAATGAATGGAACAGACTGAAAAGGGTGATTCTGCTCCTTGTGGGGCTAGGAAAAAGGTGCAGAGAAACAGGCCCAAATGCAAAATTTAAGCCAAATGCATGCTGCTTTAAAAAAAATACTGAATTTCCCATGATAGTGGGGCAAGGAGCCTTCAGAGCCTGGTGGGAGGTGAAGGCTGGTGCTGTCGGATCGGGGGTGGTTTTTGGGTGTCCCGTCTCAAAACAGCTCTGGACGTGGGTACACACGGTGGAGCTGCTGACAGCAACATCTTATTGTGGTTCCCTGAGCACCTCGGAATGAAAACCTGAGACAGTTATCCCAAATCTTAAAGGTGGGGAAACTGAGGCACAGCATCAGTTTATGAACTGCTCCTGGTCGTTCCAAAGGCAGAAGATCACCACCACCGCCCCCGTTCCAGCCCAACCTCCTCTTGCTCCCAAATTGCTTTTATGGAGCAGAATTGCATCAGCGACGCTGTGGATGGACTCAGATTCGCCGTCAGACCGAGATAGCCTCCGCTGTCTGTTGTTTTGTTTTTGGTTTGATTTTTTTTTTTTTTTTTTTTTTTTTTTTTTTGGCTTTGCCTTGGCTTCAGCCTATGTTGCAGAACCCACAAGATGGCACTGTGTGACAGCAGCACAGGGGGACTGCCACCCGCGAGAGAAATTTGGGGTGCAGGCTCTTTATGGGTGTTGGGGGATAAGCTAGCTCCCCTTCCAGGCAGCAGTCGCGGCGGGATGGGGCTGCAAACACTGTCCGTGCAACCTGTGCAGCCCAAATATCTGTGCTCAGCTGGTGACGAGCAATTTTAGTGGAAAAATTCAGCTGGCAGAGGCGGATAGCAGAGCTGAACCTTGCCCACGGCTTCCGACAGCTTCTTTGGGAAGACCCAGCTCCAAGAGAGCGCCTGGGAAGGTCGCCCGGGGCTCCTGCCCTGGGGAGCTGCTCTGCGGTACCAGCACCCTGCGGTGCCGTGGGTGCCACCGCCCGCAGACCGGAGATGGACCTGTCCAGACGCTCCCTGTTTGGAGCATCTAGGGGTTGCTGAGGTCAATGTATCTTTTTATTAACAGAATCCTGGGCTGGAAGGACCTGGAGAGGTTGGTTTGTCCATCTCTACCCCAAAGCAGGACTGTCTCTCCCTGAAATGAGCTGCAGTCCACCTTCCTCTCCTGTCCCTCCATGGATGGAGGCATTGTGTGATCCCAGCATGTCCCCAACCTCTCCTTTAGGTCACACAGCCCTCTGAGCATCCCGTGGCCAGTTGTACCGGTCTCGGTGTGCCAAGCTGGGGATGTGTCTGATGTGCTGGGGCATGGGCAGGGCTCAGGGCTGTGTGCTGGGTTGGGGTGGAAGACAGTGCAGAGACCAGTGAGGGGGACCTAGAGACACCCCACCACATCCTCAGGACCCACCCAAGGGCTGTGGCTTTCCAGGTTGAAGCTGATCCTCCTTGAGATTTTCCAGGTCCTGCTCTTCATTCTATCCTTCACCTGGATGTTATCTGAGATGCCTTCAGCCTTGCAGGAGGTCCCTGCAGAAGTGACTCCCTCTTGCTCCAAAAAGGCCCTTATTCATCAAGCTCTTTATTTTCTCTCTTTCTCTCTCTCTTTTTTTTCTTTTTTTTTTTTTTTTTTTTTTCATGGACATTAAAAATCTGAAGGCATATTTAGAGAGCAGACAGCTTTGGGCGGGTGTTGCTGGCTAAAAGATCTCTTCCTTCCCCAGATACAACCCATTTGTCTGCCTGGCCACCTCCTCCCACCCCGGGAACGGCCGCGCTTGGGTGCACGAAGATCTCCCCAGGATGAAAGTCGCCGGATAAAATATTAGCATCAGGTCACAGCATTCCTTCCTCCTGGCCAAACTCACATTACCGATGATGAGGAGCTGAGCTGCGATGCCTGGCCGGTGATGCAAGGCTCGATTTTTCCAGCACGGTTTTCCCTCGGGCTCCACGCTCTCCCGCTGGTGCAGCCCTGGGTGGTTTGGGTGTGGAGCTCCGCCAGCCTCCACCCGCTCAGGATCCGGCCCTGGAAGCTGTCGAGTTGCAGTTACAGTTGGAGCAGGGCTTTCTTGGTGGTAAGATTTTAAGCGCGGCTCTCACGCCTCGTGGATTTTTGGGTGGAGCGTTTGCCCCAGCCACCCTCAAGGCTCCCTGGAAGGGGGGTGAGCATGTCACCCAGGGGACAAAGCTGGGCAGGGAGTGAGGAAGGTCCCTGGGGCCCTGGGAGGGACGTTCCGCAGAGCTCACGGAGATGCTGAGAGGGACGCTGGAGTGGGGCAGCATCCCCCACTTGCTGTCCCCTTGCCCTGCACCCCCTTATCCAAGTGCTGACCCCCTGGCTCAGCCCCCCCCACCCCAATAACAGGCCTGTGCTGGGCTTGGATCCCACCTGTGACCCCAAAGCACCTGCCTGCATCCCCCCCCCGCCCCAGCACCAGCAGTGCCAGTGCAGGAGTAAACAGCACTGGCAGGACTGGGTCCCTCCGGTCTTCGCCTTGGTGACAGACTTGTCCCCTGGGGCACCGAAGCTCTTCCCCTCCTCCCCAGCCCCAGGAGATGGGGGCTGAGCATCACCAGCACCCTGGGGGTGTAAGAGCCCCCCAGGGAGGGGGGATTAGGGGAAGGGCCCCTGGAAGGGGGGGGTTGGTTGGTACCCTGAGTCCCAGCCTCGGCATCCGCGGGTGCAGCTCTGGGGAAGGGGCATCTTTCACGCAGGAGCTGAAACAGAGAGATGCTCGGGGAGGGTGGTGGGAGGGAAGGAGGGCCAGGTCTGCCTGCAGCCACCCAGCTCCCCACCGGCCACGGCCCCACGCTCGGGGTCGGTCTCTCCTGACCTCTCGGTGAGCGAGGGATTGCGAGCCAGGGAGGGATGGGATCTGCTCGAGCCTCTGCCAAGAGCTGGCTCCAGATCTGCAGGCAGCTCTGGGCTGCATTTCCCCTCCGGCGCGAAGCGGAGCTGGGGTGTCCGGGGTTCACTCCTCGCTGACACCGAGCCCCCGAGAGCCCCACCTGCACGCCGGGCCCCGCGGGGAGGTGAGCCGGTGCCTGGGGGTGCGGGGTCCTTGGGGGTGGGGGGTGGGATGGGGGTGGAAGGGATGAAGGGATGGGAGGATGGAGGGAGGGATGCGGGGCTGGAGGAGCGCGGTTGGGAGGGAGGGCAGCGGCGGGGGGCGCCAGCGGGGGGCTGTGGGGCTGGGCGGGTGGGGGGGGGGGGGTCCCCGGGCCCCCGGCGGGGCGGTGCCGGTTCCCGTAACCCCGCCGCTCAGCTCCCCAGCCCTATAAAAACCCCGGGCGGCGGCAGCGGCTCTTCCCCCGCCGAGCCCCGGAGCAGCCCTCGCTGCCTCCCCCGCGCCGAGCCCAGCCGGGGCGCAACAGGCCCCCCCCCCCCTCCCTCCCACGGCCCGGCCACGCGTGAGCGGGCCCCCCCCCCCCCCGGCGCCGCATCCCCTCTCAGGGAAGCAGGGCCCGGCTTGGGGGGGGTGGGGGGGTGGGGAGCGGGAGGGGAGGCGGAGAGGGGCGCATCCATCCCCCCACCCCGCTCCCCGCCGGGAACCGGGGAGGCGCCCCCCCGGCATCCACCCCCCGCCCCCCGAGCCCGGCCCGGGAGGGGCGGAGGGAGCGCGGAGCCGCCGGAGCTGGGGGGGGGGCGGGCGGCGCGGCCCCCCCCCCGCGCCTGGCGCTGCAGGTACTGGGGAGGGGGGGGGACACAGACACGCAGCCCGGCGAGGTTCAGGGCTCCCCCCCCTTTTCCTGGCCTTGGCGGCGGCACCATCCACCCCAGCTGGGTCCGCATACCGCCCCCCCCCCACACACACACCCCGGAGCCCCCCCGCGGCCCCCTCCCGCCTGCACTTGTTGCTGCCCAGCAGGGCTGGGCTGGCTCCTGGTTTAGGGCGGTTTTATTTAGGGGGGTGGTTTGGGAGGGGGTGGAGGTTGCAGCCTCCCCTGCTGTCCCCCAGCAGCCAGCAGTGTCCGGCTCGGCTCCAGCCTGCTCCCCCCGAGGCCAGAGCCAAGCCTGAGCCCCCCCTTTTCCCCTCCCCAGTCCCATCTCTGCCCCCCTCTCCCGCCTCCGCCGACCCCCAGCTCCTCGCCCGGAGGAAGGGTGCGCGTAGCGTGCATCTCCCATCCACCGAAATCTATGATCAGCTCGGTGTGTGTCTCCTCCTACCGTGGACGCAAGTCTGGGAACAAACCACCCTCCAAAACATGCCTGAAGGAAGAGATGGGCAAAGGGGAAGAGTCGGACAAGATCACCATCAATGTAGGTGGTACCCGGCATGAGACCTACAAAAGCACCCTACGGACTTTGCCGGGCACCCGCCTGGCCTGGCTCGCCGACCCCGATGCCCAGAGCAACTTTGACTTTGATGGTAAAAGCAATGAGTTCTTCTTCGACCGGCACCCTGGGATCTTCTCCTACGTGCTCAACTACTACCGTACCGGCAAGCTGCACTGCCCCGCGGACATCTGCGGGCCCCTCTTCGAGGAGGAGCTGACCTACTGGGGCATCGATGAGACGGACGTGGAGCCCTGTTGCTGGATGACCTACCGCCAGCACCGCGATGCCGAAGAGGCCCTGGACATCTTCGAGAGTCCCGAGCCCGGCGGAGGGACCAGTGGAGAGGAGCCCGAAGAGGAAGGGGGTAGGGAGATGGCCCTTCAACGCCTCGGCATGGATGACAGGCCGCCAGGGGCGGCGGGGGCTGCTGGAGGGGGTGGCTGCTGTCGGAATTGGCAGCCCAGGATGTGGGCGCTCTTTGAGGATCCCTACTCATCCAAGGCGGCCAGGGTAAGCTCCGGAAACGCGCCAGTGGGGAGGTGGGATGGGGCCATGCTGGCGTTGTGTCTCCATCTCCCCATCCCCGTGAGTGAGATGGACTCTCTTGGTGGTTTCTGTGGGCCCCCTCCCCCCCCCCCCCCAAATAGCCATCCCTGTCCTACCATGGGGCACATTGGCCATCTCCCATCCTACGGGAAGCCTCTTCCATCATCTCCCCATCCCCTCCCAATGCATCACATCTGGGCAAGCCCCCTCCCTGCCCCCCCTTGCACCCTTGGGTGCTGCCTGGGCACCTTGTGGGCACACAGAGAGGAGGGATTGTCAGGGAGAGTCCTTGGCAGGGCTGAGTCCTGGCAGAGTTTCAGGATGCTCTAGGACGGGCAGGATTGCTTGGGTTCCTCTCGCCGGGTTGTGTTTGTGCCCACGCCAAAACCCACATTTAATGGCCCAGGTGTGGAGCAGGGGGGGACAGGGCTGGTGCCTGCTGGCACCCAGATCAGGTCCTGAAGCAAACGGGATCCTCATGGTCGCCCCCAAGGAGCTCGTACTCCTCTTCTACAGCGGCAGCCGCCCCGAATGACGCCCTGTGCCTCTGCGCAGGCACCCCTCCCCGTGCCCCGCAAACACCCTCGTCCCCACACCCCTGTCCCCCCACCGTCGCCGCGTCGATGCTGCCCACGGGCAGCATACAGTCCCCATTACCACGTGCGAGCGCAGGCTCTCAGCCGCGGTTCACACACACACAACCCACCCCCCCCTTCCCCCCCGGCCCCCTTCATCCATGCACATCCCTGGCGACCCGCTACACCGTGTCCACACACACATGCGAGCACATACACGCACAGACATCCCCGCACAACCCTCCTTGGTCACACAGACAATCCCTACCCACAGACACCGACATGCCCAGGACGTATCCCCCATAACCAGGCGCATCCTTGGGCTCCCAGCCCGGCTCGGGCACTATTCTGCGCATGTGTCTCCTCTCCCAACCACTCTTAGATCATCCCCAAAGCGCTGCCCACCGGCCCCCAGACACCCACCCAAACCCATCCAGTCCCATCCCCACGCGTGTGTCCCCTGTCACGCCCAGCTTATAAATCTGCTGCACACACACGTATAGGCACTTAGGATCTAAATGGATTCTGGATGCATTTAGAGGTGTAAAAAAACCATCAATGGTAAGAAATCCTGCAGGCATTTCACACCCACCAGCGGCGCGTGGGGCAGGGGGTCAGTTTGTCAAGGCAGTGTTTGTGCAGCTAACGTAAGAGCAACACACACACACGCAGGGGATGCTTGGGCAGCAAGAGCTTTGCTCATTTTAAAAGGGGAACCCGATCCTTTGCCTGTCTCTGAGGGCTCATCGCCTCTGAGAGATGCTCTGAGTGCTGCAAAGCTCCAAATAAAAAAATGAAAAAAAAAAAAAAAAAAAAAACAACCCAAGCATAATAATTCAACTCAAATTTTTCCTGTTATTATTCGGTTCTGCTTTCCCTGTGTGCCGAGCTGTGCTTGGAAAGGCATTCGCTTTAGCAGGAGGAGTGTGTTGAAGGGAGCAGAGAAGGCTGTGATGTGAGCTCTGGTTAGGGTTGGAGTGGGACCAGTCTGCAATGGGAGCTTCCCGCTTCCTTCTACTGCTCTAAAATAAAGGCTCAGCTTAGCACTGCCACGGGGACGGTCACCTTCCAGTGGTAACGCTCACAGGCTCCTCTGGGTCATATTTTCCGCTCTAAAATATCAATATAGTTTTGCAATGGCTTAGGAGCAGTGCTTTGGCGGAGGGAGAAACTGAGGCACGGAGCAGTGCAACCAACCCAAGTGAGCGCAACCTGCCCAGTGCACCCAGTTAATGCAGGGAACAGTTACTGCTTCAGAGTCACCGTCCAGCACGAGGATGCTCTGGGACCCATGAGCATCTCTGCAGGCGCAGTGTTCATGGTGCTGCCTTGGTGTTTTGGGGCGGCTGAAGCGGGATTTCTTTACTACTGCCCCATTTCGGAGTCTCCCCCTTCCTTTTCAGAGCAAAAGGGGTGCTGCCGGCCGCGGCGTTTGGCCTGGGGACGCGCCAGCTCAGCCGGTCCGGTGTGTCTTGCCAAACCTTGGCAGCAGCGGGAAGGAGAGCGGTCCCAGGTTGTGTGCGTAAATCCTCTCTCTCGGTCGTGCGACAGCAGTGACTAAGAGTCTCAGGGGCTGAATTTCTCTGGTCCTTGCTCCTCCTCGCCCTCAGAGCAGCCCCTCGGGCCCTGACTCAGTTGGCTCCTGGCTATTTCCATCTTTCCCTTCTTCCAGCACTTCTCTCTCCCAGCACCTCCTGAGCCGGCAACTGAATTACCGTGCAGTTAAAAATTCCTTTCCCCCCCTCCCCGCCCTGGTTTTTAGCATCTTTTCCTTGTAGCATTGATGCCCACGGGATCTTGGCTCCACTGCCTAGTCCAGTCTCAGTGAAAATTTGGTCGCTAGTGTAGCTGCTGTCCCAGCTGGAGTGTGAAACTTTTTCTCTCCATGGGAAACTGCTCTGGTTGTGACTCTACCTCTACTTCCAAACTCTGCTTACCTGTAGCTCCTCATTATTTTTCCCTTTGCAGCCTGACTTTTGGGGTCCTGACCTCACTTTCATCGGGACTTCCAGGCTAGTGATGCCCTGTAGGGTCATGGTTTTTTGGGGAACACCCATCTCAAGCTGTTGAGTGCATGTTGAGAACATGTAGTTCATCAGCAGGTTCTGGAGGACTTGTTTGGTGGGACTTTTGGTACTGGTGGCTACTCAGTATGTACATAGATTTTATTTTATTTTTAAGGTTATTTTGGAAAAAAAAACCCTTGAGCTTGGAGTGGAGGCCAAAGCTGAGATAAGACATCTCAGATCAGATCTTCAGCTGACACAAAACTGGAGCAGCGCTATTGACTTTGAGGGGGGACGATGGTTGGCACTGGCAGTGAACCTGACTCTCCTATTTTTAGAGGTTGCTTTTGCTCCTGGGGCTAAATCAGATCTCACCTACGTGGTTCATACAGCAGGGTTGCTTCATTGCCAGAGTGTTTGCAGGGTCTTGCTCTCTTCCTTGGTAATTTGTTTCTTCTTACTTTGCTTTGAGTCTAAGTTTTAACTCTTCAAGTTTTCCTGAGATTCCCTGTATGGGAAAACCCAGGAATGTTACTCAGTCCTCAACTGAAAAGCAGATTATTTTGGCCATGCCACCACTGTGTAGACGCACTTGTCCAGTTAAACCAGCCTTGCTTTAAGATCCCACTTTTTTGTTGGGTTTGCTTCCCGCATTGGTGTGGCTGATCCGTGAGAGCTGCCTTCGGAGCTGCCACAGGTGGGGCCCCATCACGGTGCGTGGTTCAGAGTGGCCTGACCTGAGGGGTGTGGAGCTTCTCAGCCCACCCCTGAGCATGTTTCTATCGCTGGTGGGGGGAGAATCATCTTCTAAGAGGTTTCTCCATCAACCTAGAGCCTGGCTTAAACTTTAGAGCCTGGTTTAAACTTCACACCTAACTTCTGGAGGGCTGATGCTCTCTGTGCTTGGACCCACGCGGGTTTGCCCTTGGGGACACCCCTCAAGGATGCTCTCGGGAGGCTCAGAGCTGCTGGCACGTTACCGCGGGTGTCCAGGGCCGGGTTTTTCTCAAGCGTGACTCAGGCTGTCTCTGCTGCTGATTCACTCCAGCCGAGGACCCGGGCTGTCGTCTCGAGCAGGCTCGTGGTGCAGCTGCCTGCTGAACGCAGCCGGTCGGGTGGGTTCGACAGCAAAAGGTCGCATCCTGCCCAGTGCGGGCAGGGTGTTTTAGCAGCAAAGGGTGCTGTAGCAGGATCTGCTCCCAGGAAGCCAACCCCCCCGTGCTTTTGTGCTGGAGGAAGGTAGAAGAGCAGCTTTTCTGCTCAGAGGCTTTTTTTTCGGGGGCTCTTGGAAACAGATGCTCTGGGTAATGGACTCATCATGAGCTCATCCTGCCGGGGGGGGGGGGGGTTGAGCGGGATTGATGGGGGGGGACGACAAAGTGTTTTCTTTCTGACACAGCCTGTGATTTCCACTGCGTGCTGCCGGCCCCTCCTCACTCACATCCGAGGCAAGGCGGCAGCGTGCTGCGGGGAGGAGGTGGCACGGAGGGGACAAAGGTCTCACCGGTTGGGCAGAGGGGGGAGAACTGGGAGCATCTGGTGTGTCACCAGGTCTGGGCATCAGCAGGATGCTGAGCGCTGCCTGCTCCTCTCCTCCTCGTCCTGCCTTCGGTCCTGGGACCGTTCCTGGGCACTTCGTCTACCACTGACCTTTCGGGAGCAGGGAGAGGGCAAAAGGACATCTCTGATACATCCAGACCCCAAACCTCACAGCTGTAAATGGTGTGAACATCTCATCTGGGGGATTTGGGATGAATGTGGGGGAAAGCTCTTTGACTTAGTCCTCTCAAAGTTTCCTTTCCATGTGTGATCCCAGTGGAGGCTTGCTCCAAACCCAGGCTGTTGCAGGTCCCCCTTCATCCCCATCCCTGTCATTTCTGGCACATCTTCAGACACAGCTGGAGCTCAGCACACCTTCCTAGCACTTGGAGGAAGGTTCTGGACTGATGGCTCAGGACATGGATGTTTGCTGTCAACTCATGGGACAAGTCCAGGGAACCCTCCCTGTTCTCCATCCTTGGTCTTGGGGAAGTGGGTGGCAGCAGCACAGCCCCTGGGGTGTTTTGAGCCTGTTGCTCTCATTTTTATTGAATGAGGACCTCTCCCATCCCTCCTATTGTTATTCACTAGCAGGGATTAGAAGAGATGCACCAAAGACAGGTGACACCAGAAGTGTGTCTCAGGATGCCCCAAAGTTGTTGTGGTGGTTCATAAAATTGCTGCTCTCCTCCAAAGAAGAGAGGTAGACCCAAATCAACAGATCAGAAGGGGGTGACCCAAATCAGCTAATGGCGTGTGCAATTTCTACTTTCGCAGGTGGTTGCTTTTGCCTCACTTTTCTTCATCCTGGTCTCCATCACAACCTTCTGCCTGGAAACGCACGAGGCCTTCAACATCGACGTCAACGTGACGGAGACCCTTGTGGTTGGTAACACCACGACGATCCTGCTGACACATAAAGTGGAGACGGAGCCCATCCTCACCTACATTGAAGGAGTCTGTGTCCTGTGGTTCACCCTTGAGTTCCTGGTTCGCATCATCTGCTGTCCAGATAAGCTTCTCTTCGTTAAAAACCTGCTCAACATCATTGACTTTGTGGCCATCTTGCCCTTCTACCTGGAGGTAGGTCTCAGTGGCCTGTCCTCCAAAGCTGCCCGGGACGTACTGGGCTTCCTACGGGTGGTCCGTTTCGTCCGGATCCTCCGGATCTTCAAGCTGACACGGCACTTTGTGGGTCTCCGGGTGCTGGGCCACACACTGCGGGCCAGCACCAATGAATTCCTGCTCCTCATCATCTTCCTTGCCCTGGGAGTCTTGATTTTTGCCACTATGATCTACTATGCCGAGCGGATCGGAGCCAAGACGTCCGACCCCCGTGGGAGCGACCACACTCACTTTAAGAACATCCCCATCGGGTTCTGGTGGGCTGTGGTCACGATGACGACCCTGGGCTACGGCGACATGTACCCCAAGACCTGGTCAGGCATGGTGGTGGGGGCTCTCTGTGCGTTGGCTGGGGTGCTCACCATCGCCATGCCCGTGCCCGTCATTGTCAATAACTTTGGGATGTACTATTCGTTGGCCATGGCCAAGCAGAAGCTGCCAAAGAAGAAGAAAAAGCATATACCCCGTCCGGCCCCACTGGACTCCCCTACCTACTGTAAATCCGAGGAAAACTCCCCCCGTAACAGCACCCAGAGCGACACTTGCCCCTTGGCGGTAGAGGAGGGGGCAGCTGAACGGAAGCGGTCAGGTGAGACCCCAAAGGTGGGGCAGAGGGAGGGGGACACCTCTGGGAGCCCCCCATGGCAGCCTCTGGGTCCCAGAGTCCCTGGGGACTGCCCTGCTGCAGGACACGGCCCCCAGCTCTTGGGTTGGTGAGAATTCGGTGTGGAAAAGGCTGGGGCCCTTGGGTGTCCAGGTATTGGGTGCTGTACTGGTGGACCAGAATGCTGCAGATCAAGATCCCCCCTCCAGGCAGGGCGGGAAAAGCCATCTCCTGCTCTCCTGATGGCATAGATCAAGTCACCGTGCTGTCATTCAATGTGTCCCTACTTAGCCCACTTTTTCCTCGCGCTGACAGAGGTGAGACCATTTACCTGATTCCCATCTTAGCCTGGTAATGCCCTTGGGCGTAGATTTTCTTTTGCTTCCTCCCACCATAAATCAGGGCAAGCTTCACCAAAATGGATAAATCCATGGATATTCATTGGGGCTTGGCCTCACCTCCCCATTCATCTTCTAGGAGAAGTAGCATCTCCGCATGGCAAGGTCAGCACTGCTCCAAATCCTGTGCTCAGGCAGGAGAAAAATCAGCCCCTGTACATTTATTGTTTGGTCTCACGCACTGAGCTGAAATTTGGGGTTTGGCCAGTCTTTCCTTCAGGTCAGGAGAGGGCACGGCCTCAGCTTTGTCCTGTCGATGGGCAGAATTACTCGGGCTAAGCTTGGGTGACTGCGAGAGCCCTGCTGTGGCATCATCGCTGGTCAATGAGGCTGCTTTGCCCTTTTCGTCTTGGTTTGTTGCCAGTGGCACCTCCGGTGCGGCTGCTTTGCCGTGTGGAAACAGGAGGGACCACGGTGGGGTTGTGTCTTGCACTGACGTGGCATTCGCTGAGGTGAGCCCTGAGCAGCCGCACATCTGCCCACGTGTTTAACAGTGATGGTCCTTCACCTGTGGGGACACAGGGAGCTCCAAATGCCCCAGATACATGTTTTCCTTTATAAATTTCCCTTTTCCACATGCCTGCGCAGTCCGTCTGCCCCAGGAGCCCTGGCAGTGGGGTGTAGTGAGAGTAGCTGTCCTGCTCTGGAGGAGCAGGTCAATTATCTCCTCACCCAAACGCTGATGCAGGAGCTCAGGCCAGACCCTCACCTGGCATAGCATCCTCTCAGCTGAGGACCCAGAGTCAGATGACATAAATTAGCCCTTCACCCCTAACCTGAGCAGCCTGTATCTCAGCCATGTGAGTTTTGGAGAGCTAATTTACACCAATTAGGTGGGTGGATCTCAAAGACCAGAGGTGTTTCTGCCCTGGCAAACCCTGCTTGGTTTCACGCAGGATGTATAACCCTCAGCAGGAGTAAGAGCTGCTGTTTGGAGTTAAAATTTGGCACGGTCCTGCTCCTCTGATCGCTCTAAGTTAGCATGTCCAGGCTAACCTGAATTTGCGGGTGCTGCTCTGGACCATCAGGAATCTGGTCTTCTGCTTCCTTTCATGGTCTAAGCAAACCCTTCTGGCCACCCCAAGCACCCCGTCCTGTGGGTTTATAGACTGTTGATGAGTCTCTGCCACCTTCTTGCAGACTCTAAGCAGAACGGTGAGGCCAACGTGGTGCTGTCAGACGAGGAGCAGCCACTGTCACCGACCGATGAAGAGAAGCGGCCCATGCGGCGCTCCAGCACCCGGGATAAGAACAAGAAATCCTCCACGTGCTTCCTGCTGGCCACGGGTGACTTCTCCTGTGCAGCGGATGGAGGCATCCAGAAAGGTATGGCTGATGCTGGAGGTGTGAGCTGGCCCGTGGGCTGTGGAGGGTGAGATGGAGGAGTGAGGTGGAGGTTTGTTGCACCAACCCGAGACAGTGGTTCATCTCCATCTGCCTGCCTGGCTGTTGTTCTCTGCTCCCCAAATCCACTTGTCTTCCTGCCTCTTCATCTGCTTCATCTCCGTCCACCACGTCTCTCCGTGCTAGCTTTACCCTTTTTGTTTTCTCTGCCCCCAATTTCTCTTCCCCTGATTGCCCCCATCTGGGATCTGTGACCCCCATGCTCTCTGCACGGCCTTCCTTGGGGATAGCTCTGTCCCTTTGCACCCCAGTGCTCCAGCTTCTCCTGTCCCTCCAGCTCTTCTCCCTGGGCTTCAATCACCCGTCTCAGGGTGGCTTGAGGGGGACCTCTTCGCTGGGGATGCGGTGAGGTTGTGACTGAAGGTGGTCAAAATGTTTTCAGTAGGGAAAAAAATCCACAGGCTTTTCCTTTCCTCTCACCCTCTGATGTCTTTTGGTGGGTTCGAGCGTGGGGAGCCGTGATGTGTCAAGTGCTGCCTTGCCAAAAGCACCGGGCTGCCAGAAAGGCTGTCTCCTCTGGCTTTGGAAAGTGAGCTCTGCTAAGTGTTGAGGTTTTCCATGGGAAACTGTGGGGGAGATGAGTCAGGAAAACACAAAACTCTTCTTCCCATGACAAAACAACAGTCCTCTTCAACCTGGTCCCTTTGCACTGTTCTCCAGCCTTCTCTGCGCCACTAGCGAGTGTCCCAGTACCCCAGCCCCTGGAAGGGTAAATCCAGTGCCTGTCTTCAGCCACAAAATCCAGCTGCACCCTCGATTGCTGGATTAATTCTTAGCACACGGCTCAGTTTTTTAGTTCTGCAGTTTTTCTTGTGTGACCAGGGTGGTGTGAGACGATGTCGCTGCAGAGCTGACCTACCTCTACCTGCCTGGTACCATCCAATGCCAGTTACTCACAGGGAACGGTGCGTGTGAGCTGGGACCGGGCAGGAGAAAAGATGATGTGCTACATCTCCGAGTTGCACACCAAGACCTGCTGGCTCCTGGCGTTGAAGCTTTGGAGGCCCTCAAGGGTTTGTTGCTGTAGCACTGCTTGGGATGGTAAAGACCAGATGGGTTTGGGACATAGGGAGGTGTCTGAGGGCAATCCCGCTTATTACATTAGTAGAAGCAAACTGGTTGCTTCCTTCTGGGAAATCAATGATTTCCATTGGAATTCCTGCTCAACCCCATCCCTTAGAAAGAGGAAAAAAATGAAAAGCTTTGCTCATCTTTGGGAAGAAGGGTACTATACAAATATTTACTCGAAACACTTAATGTTTTTTTTCTTGGAAGTGCCTTCTTCTGTGATGTTGGCCTCTTTCCTTAATGCCTTCTCATGTGAAGAGGTGAGGGGGCTCTAGTCCTGCTCTAGACTGGGGGGGATGCTGAACTGGAAGGGATGAAGGAGAGGGATGGAAGTCAGTGCTGGTCTTCATCTTTACAAGACACTCAAGCCAGGCATCTCCAACTGAAGTATTTGAGCTTGGTCACACTGAAGCCAGGAGAACTAGAGTAGATCTAAAAGCTGAGGATCCAGTGCTCCTTTTTCTGGGCTCCCAAATCACCTTACGTGGTTGCAGGAGACCAGGAGGTTTTTCTCCCTGCATAGTGGCAGCAACAGCTACTCAAAAGGGCACTTTGGTGATCTTTCATGGTTTGTTCTGATATCTTCCCTGCAAATGTCAGAGTGCTTTTTACAATTAAAAATAGATGTGTATGTGAGTCACCCCCCCCTTGCTGAAATGGTCTTGCACCTGGAGAAAGGTGGATCTGGTGTCCAGAGGGACTTGAGTGATGTGTGAGACCTTTTGGGAAGAGAGAACCTTAATGTCTGTGTCCTGCTTGGGGATGGACTGGTGGGGTGCTGTCCTGGGAGGACAGGGCTGATGTTTTCCCTGTAAAATGCTCCAGCGTGGTCAGGGTTAGTGGTGACCAGAGGTGATCAGAGAGGCAAAGCCACCTCCTGCACTCCAGCAGAAAGCCATTGGGAGCCGCAGAGGTGCCTCTTCCCTCGGTCCTGATTTATCTCCTGCTGAGGCTGTTTGTTCTGGTACTGGGATGTTGGCAGCTCTGCAAATTGAGATGAGCTTGGTTCTGAGCCCGACTTGCTGATGGCCATCTGTCAGATCCTGGGACAGGTACTGATGTCTGTACAAGCTGTGGAAATCAGGAGATGGAACTGGTTCAGGAATATGCTGCAGATCTTAGCATCCATCGTGGTTTGAGCCCGGTTCCAGCGGTTGATCTCATTGGGGCAGCTCAAAGAGAAGAGCTGCCCCTGCCCACCACCCCTTGGACCTGGGCCCTGGGGAAGACGGGGCTGGGTTGCAGTGAATTGCCATGTGCTGCTTGTCCCTATTGCCGCTTCCAGGGTCGTTGCCTTGCTCCCTTGCTGCTGGGGACAGCTTCAGACCCCTTATCTCCCTTCAGCACTCATGTTCTGCTCAGCAGTTCCCCAAAATGTGTCCTGCTGAGGCCCAGACATGTTGGCATGGCTCTGTCTTGGCATGTGAGCCCCTATCCTCTGCTTGGATGGAGGGATATGGAGGCAGGATGAGTCCAGCATCCCCCATGCCAGCGAGATGGGTTATGATGGTTTAGGAAAAGGCAGTGATTGAAACCAGAGCGGGATTTCAAGAGGAGCCACAGGCAACGGGGTTAAATGGAGGGAAGGGGATTTACCCTCCTGACAGAGCAGCTCTCCCAGCACCACCTCCCTTTTTGCCACGCTGGCGTGCCATCAGCGGCAATTTTTGGTTTGGTTGCCAGAACCCAGAGCACCACGCAGCTGACTGTTACTCTGTTGCTTGCTATTAGTGCAGGGCCGTGACCGGCACGTGTCTTGAGCGGCGTGGGATTGAGCGCGGGGATGCTCACGTGAGCACCCGCCGGTGACGCTTGGCTGGGGGGGGGGGGGGGAGGGGGGAGGGCAAGGACAGGCCCACGTTTGCACGGGGGACACGCGTGCGAGTGCATGCAATGCGCAGACGAGCGCCAGGCCGCCGTTATAAACCAGCACAGGCGTTCCTGGGCAATGCTGTCTGCTTGCATTACCCCGTCCCCATCTGCTGCCGGCTCAAAGCATGTGCGAGCGTGCACGTGCGCCCGGGAGCCGCGAGCGCTTGCACGGGGAGCGGGGAGCGAGGCAGTGCCAGGTCCTGGGGAAGAGCCCCCGGGGGATACACACTGCCCGGCCACTCTGGTTATAAGATGCCTCTATACGGCTCCTTGGCAACAAACCCCTTTATAAAGCAATCCCGGTGACCTCAGTTAGCGCCTCTGCGAGTTGCTGGGATACCGGCTCCGTTAACGAACAGCGCCCGTGGCAATTAGCAGGGCACAACCCTGCGGGCGCTTTGCAGCTTGACTCTGTGGTAGCACCTGGCCCTGAGCTTGGTGGAAAACCATGATGGCCTGGAGGGAAGGAGTCCTGAGCTCCTTTCCAAGCGCTCCCGCGAGCGGGGCTTGGGAATAAATTGATAGAGAAAATGAAGTGTTGGGCTTGGGGTGGGTTTGCCCTTGGAGTCCTGTTGCAGAGGGGCGCTGGGGCAATTAAGCATCTTTATGAAGTGCTGCCCCAACCTGTCACGCTTGAGACTTAATCAAAATTGGCAGTGTGATTTTTGGCCCAGTTCATATGCCCATTTCCATCCTTTTCCATTCAGTGATCTGAGCAAGAGGGCAAAAGAGCATCGCTATAAAGTGCTCAACCTCATCAGCGGGTCCTTGCATTGCCAAGGCGGGTGGCTTCCAGCAAGCCCCGACCCTGTAACACCTCTCTGCCAAACTGATGTTGTTTGGGTGCTGGATCCATTGGTAACCCCAAGCTTTCAGGGACCGGTTGAATCTCGGCACGATTGCTTCCCACGTGCATGGCTCAGGGTGGCAGGGAAATGCGTGAGCGCTTCAAAGAGCCTCACTGCTCCTGGGAAAAGAGCAAGGCTTGCTGAAGAATGAGCCCGATGCAGTTTTTTTGGGGAGCAGGGGGTCTGTGCATCAGCTACTGTAGGTGGGAAATATCCCCAGCTGAGGATGGGGCTCCCCCCCCCCCCCCCAGCTCAGGGCTGCGCTTGCTTCCCTCCTCGCTCGCTGTGTGGATTCATGCCAAAACATAAATAAGGAAATTGCTCTTCTCTTTGGGGCCTGATTCTGCTCTCGCTTCCACTGTGGGAACTAGAAAAGCTTTGCTGAAGTCAGCAACAGGTTTAGGCAGATGGCCCTCTGTCCCCTGAACCTTTCTCTGCTCTGAAGCTAGAGGAGCCGTGTCTCTTTGGGGGGCTGAGTTATGGGAAGTGGTTGAAGGCTCCTCTGCTGACTGCTGTGGTTGGAAAATGATTAGGAAAAAAGTATAAAAAGGGGATAAAAATCAGAGTTAAAGAAGTAGTGCTCTGGAGCCTTTTCCACATGATGCTTGTGTCTCAGCATCCTCCTTGGGGGTGTGCACGGGGGTGATGCCGTGATCACTCTGGTGTGGGTGTTCATCCCTGATCCAAGCCCAAAACAACCTGACCAGGCCAGGACCCGCCGTCGGTGCCTTCACATTAAAGCAGAACCCAAAGACGCTCCATTAAGTCCCCGGGGGGGGGACGCGGGGACGGTTCCCAGCTTGGTGCTGCCGAAGGGGCCATCCATCACCTTGTTTTTCTGCTGTCAGAGAGCCGCCTCCCTCCGCTCCCCCGCTGCGTACGCACGCTCGCGCGCGCTTGCTTTCTCCAGAGCTCACTGGTGCTTGCAGGGAAGGCGAAGGCGAGGCTGGGTTGGCTTGCCTGGGCTCTCTCAGGGAAGATGCAGCGAGCACAGCACAGAGTGGGGTGGTTGGGCTCATCGTGGCTGGGAGCATCCTTAATTTTCCATATTCTGGCAGCAGAGCTGTCCCTGCAAGGTGCAGCCATCCGGAGAGCAGATCTTGGGGCTTACCTTTGAACGGGGCTGCTGTTTGG